CTCGTAGCCGCGTCTTTTGCAGTCGATTTTTCGACAAGCCGATACAAAATGATGTACTGGAACCACCAGAGAAGCTTTGGATCAATACTTTGCAAGTCATTCGGAGAATATGGGAGTCGGATTTTCATGTAGTGAAATAAATACATCGGACTTTCTCTAGATTTCAGGCAGTGATTGAAGATACTATTTCTGATCAATTCGTCGTTCCACGAGACATCCGTTTCCGCAAGCTTAACTCTCCAATCATTTTGTTTGAGCAATTTTTTTACACGAAATCGCTCATGTCCGACTCGACTTGTTGCCGTTTTAATAGAGTTTGTGGCGCCATGCAATGGAGATTCTAAGACCTTAAGTCTGTCAACAACGTTCGTGCGCGAAAGCTCATCGCTAATTTCTGCGACAAATTCCTCTGCTGATCTACCCCTCGCTTCGCTATTCTCAGGAATGACGAAGGAATCGTTTTTATTAGGAGCAGTACTGTGCTTTGTTATGGAGGAGCGGCTGATTCTGTGTGGCTCTTCTTCTCGTCTCGTAACAGAAATGTAAGCAGAACAAGTATAAATACCAACAAAAACGATGATCACATTTCGTAATGAAACCAGCAGCAGCATTATTGTTTCAAACAATCTATTACTTGATAAGACTGAGGAAGGGAGGTGTAACGAGCGTGTTGATTTAATTGCACATCTCTCTGCTTTTACCCAATTAAAATCGTGCACGGTAAATACCTAATTTCCGAAAATCAGTATGTTTGAATTGTCTTTGTTTATTGAGTCTCGATATAGGTAAGAATGATAGTGGGAAGACGAATTAAATGCATACTTGAAGGCAATTGACTTACGCCATAGTAAGTTTATCCTCTTGATAGTAGAATTTGAAACAGATCGATTGCAACGAAAGTGTATAGGATTTGTGCTTCACAGCGTCCAACTATAGAATGTGTATTTGCAGAACTTTTCAGTGGGGCCTTAATTCTAGCTCAGCTATGATTCTCTCCGAAATGTATTTCTTTGTAAGAAGAAAAGGTTGTCAAAGAAGGTATGTCGCAAGACTTCCGAGTCGACAAGATAGAAAAATACACATGCAGTTGTATCTGGTCGCTTGTGATTTATTTTACTTGTAAAAGATCAAATATGCCTTCACGCAATGCTGACGTTGCGGCCAATTATACCTTTTTGACGAGTTCCAAATCCAGTCCATGTTAGTCGTTATCAGCACATCGACGACTTAGGCATTTTACTACAAGCACTGGCATAAAAAGACGTGGCTTTAAAATGTCGCCGTGATGTGTGTGATTTATAGCTGTATCAGTAGGAGAATACTGTGCATGTCCTTCAAATTTTACACTGTTTTCAAGCGCACAAGCAGAAATACTCTGGCGTCAGACAATCACTAAATATTCTCTCTGTCTCCAGAACCATCCAAGGTTGGTGATTCCATTCATCATTATAATCAAGTCGACGATTACCAGTTTGAGCTTTTTATAGTTAACGCTTTACATCGCAAAATTCCCGCTGCAATTATCTCAAAAGACATTTACGTCGATCATCTGATTGTGATGTCTACGCATTCGGCGTTCCAGTTTACCTTGTTTTTCATCCCTAACAGCAAGGAAAATGGAATACTGTACGTATTACGTCGTTCGGCAGGCGCGATCCAAAGGTTGCCCTTATACCTATAAATGCTATCAACTTTCACCAATTTCAACTCCATAGCCCGTTACAAACATTAGACGTCAGTCAATTGCTGGGAACAAAAAACTTCGCTTCACAAATTCTGAGCATCCCTCGGGAGAGTGACTGAATCTGCGCATCAAAAGCGTATGGCGGAATAAAGATCCGTATGGGGTGGAATCATCTCCTTAGCCATGCTTTCAATCTCATTTTGCACAAAAATTAAGCCAGCTTTCGCGGAGCAAGACTCTTACCATCTTGAAAACCATCCAACAATTTAAATGCGGTGAGGCCGTCTTTCTGCTTCACTGTATTCGGACATAACAACTGATAGAATATTTTGTCTTCCATGCCGAGGCGCTGTAGCCGTTGCCGTCGCTTCAGATGGATGTGATTAGCCAATTGCAATCCACTGCAAAGTTTCTTGAGATAAAGCAACGCGGTCTATAAAAATATCAGGCAGAACGCAATGTAAATTGAAAGTTTCATGCCTTTCATAGCTTATTTATCGACAGTCATCCATGACAGCATTCGGCACGACTTGATTTTGCTATCCATTCCAGAATTTCAGCATACGTAAGAATATTTGTTTCTCCAGATGAAGAAAAGGTGATATTTGACTCTATCAAAGCTCATCTGACATCCGGGACTTATCTTGCACATTGGCTAAAAGGCTTAGAGCTTACCATAGAATCACCTTGAATTGTCCTAAAAGGTATTTGCAGCAATAATATAAACCAGATATCATGTTCGCTTTCCCATGGCAGCCCGGCCTCACTTCACTTCATATATCCATCAATTGATCCATATTGTTGAAGCGAATTGGGTAAAAACCAAAAGTTATTACTCACTTCAATCACCGCTCTTCTAATTTTCGCACAGAAACATGAATCGTCAACGTATTTTTAATCGCAGTTACGACATTGAATTTCGTCAAATTATAAAATTCCATTTTCCAGTTTTCTAATGACTAATGTGCACAGACTGGCACCGGCCTTCTTGTGCTTCAACCTGCCCCACCATCTCGTTCTTTTCTTCCACTTCTTGCTGGTCCTAGCAAGCTCAAACTCTATTCCACCTCCAATCACCGGCTTATCAAAAGGTGATCTCTGCGCCCTGGACGTCGATCGCTCTAGCTATGTGCTAGATCTGGTTAACGTAACACCAGAGCAATTATTAATGCGACAGCCATCGACTTCCAAGATCTTTTGCTTTGTAAACACGATTTCAGTCCACCACAAGACTCGTGCACAGTCCGTAGCCGACACATGGGGTCAGCGATGTGATAAACTCATGTTTTTCAGCAACACAAGTGACACTATCGTAGTGGGGGCTAATACACAACACGAGCGACGATATGATGTCATTAAGATGAACGTCATTGCAGATCACAATCATTTGTGGCAAAAGCATAAAGCCACTTTGCGGTACGTGTATACGCACTTTCGACATGATTACGATTGGTTTTACAAGGCGGACGACGATGCATACGTTATTATAAACAATTTACGACACTATCTTCTTCGGCCGGAGATCATGCAATCATACAAGCAAGAGCCGATGCAGATAGGACATCGATTTAATTTAACTCAAGACCTGGTGAGTTATTATATTGTGAATGAAACATTAGAAGCTACTTGGAGGTCTAAGTGGGACCGATGGATCTTTAATTCGGGCGGGCCAGGTTATGCGATGAATCGCCTATATTTGGACAAAATTGTGAGTACTTTGTCCGACTGGACATGTCTGTCGGACAGATACAGCGCGATGCTGCCTGATGACGTCTCGATTTCGTTCTGCATGATGTGGCACAATGTTTTTCCATGGGATACACGTGATCATCAAGGACGTGAGCGATGGCATGCGGACAAACCGAGAGGAGTGTATTTTGTTAATCCAAATCGACCAAATTATTGGTACGTACAGTATCATGAACACATTGGTGGCGTAAGGCCGAACCAAGATTCGGCCGCACCCGACAGTGTCGCTTTTCATTATATTAGTCCGCCGTTGATGTATCATTTGGAACGAACTCTATATCTGTGCCGAGAGGGCGATGATGTAAATGATGTTGCAGCATTTAATGATAAGTACGGACTTGCCATCAGCAACAATATTATGGTGTATCAAGACGTACCGCAGGATAAAATAAGATGAGGTAGTTAAACAACTTTGACATTGTAGGTTTCTTTTGGCTATCCTGTTATGTTATCTTTGCTGGAATAGAGACTGGATGTTTAAATCTGAAGTTTGCTCTTGCTGCCATTTGTTGTGTTTAACAGCTTCCTTGTCAGAAAGAATAAGTTTCTCGGACAGATCAATGATTTTTCTCCCCATTGCGGTTTTATTGCTTAGAAGGCTTGTCAATGGCGACATCATAGATGCTCGCTGTTCTCGAATAGCCAATATTGGCATCTCGAGAAGCTCTTTGAACGCGTTTTTTTGTGTCTTCATACTGTGTTTTTCACGTAACAAACTATCCAAATGATCTACCTGTTCACGTGTGACGTCAGGAAGCGAGAGCAAAATATCACGTGGAATCGCACAGAGTGACGAATCAGGACGGAGCGGCTGATTACATGGATCGATACCTTTACACTCTTCAACCGGAATCAATCCTAATGTCAGTCTACAGTAAATGTTGCGTGCCAAGTTAATAATTTCCCACTTCAAACCATCATCCTTTACATGGCCGACATACTCGTGCAAAAGTCCCTGTAGCGCGGCAGAGAACAAATCGCGTCCAAAAACTTCGTGAAATCTCACGTCAGCGTACAAAACATTGACCAATTTCTCGCTAAGAAGTACCGCTTTTCGACAACTCAATGTATCTTTCCAGCAAATTATCTGGATCAAAACGGCAATAATTGTGAACGGCAGGATAGCCGACTGGAACAGAATGTATTCTCGGAGAAACGCATCGTCTGGATTTGTGACATGCTTTGGATTGCCGGTATCAGTATCTACGACAGTTCTAGGGTCCACCGCGTTCTCGATAAATTCCATTATTTGACGGGTCAGCTCCAGTACCATTTTCTCGCGCGCAATTTCTTGCTTAGCATCTTCAATTCCAACCACAAGTCCGTTCCAAAGTGTCGAGTCTAACTTCTCTCCAGTATTCGGACCATAAAAGATTATTCTTGCCCGCTGCGCGAAATGACCGAACAACATCGTGAGTACGGGATCTAGAAGAGATGAGTAGAGTTCTTTCGGGCACTTTTTCAAAAAAGGCAAATACACGTATGCAAGAGCGCATTTCAAGTGTCGATGCTCCATCAAGTTCAAGTCACTAAGCATACTATTCTGCAACACTGCGGCGACCTGAGGGTTTTCATAAAAACATTTTTGACTCACTGCTACGCCCATTAAATGGTAGGAGATATCCCGCACGTTCTTGTGCCACTTGGACCACTTTGAAGCTGCAGGCAGCTTAGAAACTTTTTCTTCTTCCAATTGATTCTTTCCTCCCAGCAATTGAGCTACTTCATCTATCGATATGCTCAGTAACCAGCAAGCTGTAGAGCTTTGTAAGACCACATCTTTAATTGTCGACGCTTGAAGACCATGAAGCGAGCGTATCAGCGCCACTAAGTTAGGCAATAAATGTGGCCACGCACCATCAAAAGCACTTGTGTTGTATATTGAGCTTCCTAACGCCGTCGCTCCTGCTCGCTTGGCAATTCCGTACAATGTCGTCAAAGATTTCAGAATCACACAAAGTCCTTTTTTAACCTTTTCGTCCGTAGCAGCAGCTTCAATAGCGTTCATAATATTCTGCGGAGAGCTTACGAGTGCCGTTGTGTCAGGATTTGTCCAGTGGGTAATGGGTTCCTGCACAATTTGCTCTACGAATCGCACACGTTCGTCTAAACTTTCCATCGAATTGGATACCAAGACCAACATTTCATACAACATTACTCCTTCCGTGTCTGTCACTCGATCAGAAGCAAACAATTCGTGAGCTTTTGTACACAACACGGGTAGTACGGGCAAAATATGCGCTGGAATGGTCTGGCAGATGGATACCAACGACGAGAGTGCTCTTCGTCGGACATTGATCGTGTCAGTACTCATCCGACCGTGCACATTTTCACCAGGCATGACGAAGTCGATGTTGGCGAATAAAATCTCAAAAACGATTGTTAGTGAGCTACTGTCGAGTGTATAATACTTGGCAAAGGATGCGAGTACAAGCAGTTGGCGGAATTTTAACAAAGGATCCGGACTATCATAAGCCATGACTGCCTGCAGTATCCCTTGCAATAATCGGCAAGTGGATTCATGTTCCATTGCCTTGGCAGGAAGTTGCTTGACAATGCAATCAATCAATGACGTGATGCCTTCGTGGTATAGGTACGTGGTACTCAAATCTGTACAAAATTCGCAATCTGGACTCAGATGATCCGTACCGAAACGATAATGCGAGAGAACAAATATTAAGCGCTCATGTAACGATTGAAGCACGTCCGTCGGATTAGACTGCACTAAGAGTCGAATCAATGCGTAGAGACGTCCACGGAAATTTCCATAGTATGAAATGTACTCAACGTGATCGTCAAAATCTTCTCTACTACACATACACGCCAATTCGTACGGTCCAGGCTCATCACGCTCGGGTGAGCTTAACTTAAAATATTTGTCGAACGAAACTTGACGGAGTTGTTCCACAATTTCACTTAAATATGCCTCTCCCTGTTTCAAGACGGTTTTGTTCTTCAAAACCACTAGCCAGAAAATAATCTGCGCCTCTGTTACAACTATACTTGGATGCGCAAATAACTTGCACATAGTCCTCAAAATTATATGCAAGAGAGCCATCTCTGATTCCCCTGAGTGATCCAGCATTAACTCTAATTGACACGTTCCCCACGTCACTAAAAGATCATTCACTTTTTTATGAAACATTAGTTTTTTATCCAGATTAGGCTTTAAATTCGTTAAGTTCAGATTCTCGACTTTTTCAATTATCAAACCGATGCTCTGTAGCATCAGTGCTCGGTTTTCCTTACCAAACCCCCTCGTCATATAAGCTTGTAAACACTCTGCTCCATCTGATTGGAATTCTTCATCTTCCAGAAAAAGAACTGCAACCATAATGAAGTTCGTATCTGGATTCAGGGGTTGTTCAAGCGGGACCCATTCAAAAAACTCTTTAAGCATCGCCATCGCAGCATGAAGTAGTCTCTCACTCCACCTTTTCTGTACTTTTGTGGTCATTGTGGATTTGTAAATGGAATAGCGCTTCTCCAATTCTTGATACACAACAGGAAACAATTGTGGAAGACACACATTCAAACCTTGTAAGATGTCTTTCCTTCGAGCAGGTGGAATCAATGTATTGAAAGAGCTGCTGACACAATCCTCGGCCAAAGACCGTAAAATCAATAATACCAACTCCACTTGTCTGCAAGCTCCCGTGCTCCAAACTTGCAGTAAATCAGGTATCAGTTCGGGCCAATGTTGAGGAAATTGTCGCTTGGCAATATGTGCCACAAGTGACACCTTCTTTTCGCGTATAAATACAGGCTCGTCTGCACTATCCGATTGAGTATCATGAAGTAGCAGTGAGATGAGCTCAATACGCAATTTGTGTTGATTTTCGACTGAAAGAAAGCTCCAGTGGTTAAGGACGTGATGCTCCAGCACATGCAGTGCAAAGTGTTGCCGAGTGTGCAGCTCCAAAGCATCGCATCCGCCTGGATTGCGATACAATGCCACAGCATATGAAACACAATCTGCACGGTTTTTAAAGTCTTCGCAAAATACATAAGCAGCTTGGCGTTCGCCAGACGACGCCAAGGGCGAGTGACTTGCCTGTACGGCCAGCAGAACCTGCTGGTATAATTGTGGGTCCATTTTTTTAAGTAATGGCTCACGAATTGAGACGTTTTAATTCTCATCAAGATGAAATTTGCAGACATGAAGAAAATTTGGAGCTAGAAATTATTATAACAATTTCAGGTGAGATTATACAAGTATATTTTACAATATAGATAATAGCGATAGACTTGCAAGTTAAGCAAAGCATGTGGTGTCTGGAGTACTTTGCTCGCCGTAGTCGCCAGTCGAGCTCTTTTTATCAGAAGAATTTGGGATCTCCTTTGGCGCAGGGGCTGTGCTGTAACAAATTAGGCCAATGTACACCAATGTCAGAGCCAGCCAATACCACTTGTTAACGCTCTCATCAAATATGAGGTACGAGATGGCAACGGTGAAGATTGGACCAGTGAGTAAACTGAGGTTGAACATAAGTGACTCAGCCCAGCGAAGAAAGACTGAGCTGACAGTATAAAAGACGAAAAGTACGCCCACGTAGCCCGTCATATAACCATAAACACGACCAGTAAAGACCACACTTTGTATGGAGTCAAGTTCAAGAATCAAGACTTGAATTATCGACACGATCGATGCCCAAAAGCCTAAAAACCCTAAAACTTCAATGTTTGAACTCACATTGCGCGTCTTGACCACAGCTTGAATCATAACATTTGACGTGGCATAGAACGCAGCAGCGATGAGTGCGTACATATCGCCACGTATCTCACGACTGCTAGTACCATTAGCAGACGATGTATAATCAGTCACAAAAATTACAATCGATCCACTTAATGCAATTGTTGCGCCAAGGTAATGGCGAGTCGAGTAGCGCGTCTTGAGGAATAGGTAGCAAAAGAGCGACACGAAAGGCACTGTCATGTTCAATATGAGACTGAGTGTGGCGTAATTGGCATAATTAAAGGCTTTGACAGCAAAATAGTTGCCTTCTACGTCAACAAAAGCCAAAATAAGGTAAAACCACCAGGGTAAACCGAGAAGTGGCGTCTTGCGCACGTAGCGGACAGTGATATACACCGCTCCGAGCACCACATACAGACATGTGCTCTGTAGTGTTGGTAGACTGGCATTCTCAAGTGTCAAATACTTGGATAATATACCCGACGCCACATTGAGCATCATTATAGCTTGGCCGAAGCCGAAGCAGATAAACTGGAACTTGACGTCTTCTTTCATGATTGAGTTAGAATTGAAGTGATGATTACTGGTGGTGATAGGGAGTGGTAGGGGACGGTCGACTATACAAACGTTAGGATTCTAAGCTTTACTTGAATTTAAAAATCGAAAACTATCACATTCAAAAAGTTTGTTGTTATTTTCGCATTTAAAGTTACGTCTTTTATATGCTGTTGCTGATGTTAGACATGTATAATTTTCTTGAAATCTTTAACTCCATTTTCTTTATTTATATATTTTTTTAGTTTCAGGCTGGATTAAGATTTGATTTATACGTAACATAAATATTCAAGATACAGCAGCGCTTTCGCACTTTCAAGCAATGAGTAAAATCTAGCAATAACAATGTCTAATGCTTCCAGCAATCGAGTAAAAAATTTCAACAATTTTGTGCACCTTATCATGAGCTGAAATTGTCAGGTCCCATCGTCACAATATTTTCGTTAGTGAGCCCTTAAGTCATGGTATTGCCGTCGTAACCCCGATGAGTTGAAGGCTGATCAGCGCGTCGGTTGTCAAAACAAAACGAGGCAACTTTTAACGATCTATGTTGTCATTATACCTCGTATAAAAATCGAATTGTAGCAATCGTCTCTTGTGTTTCTATGGGCCAGCTCTTTATAAGATGTATTATAGCGGCCCTGATTCTATTCGTTAAGCTCAAAGGAATGCGTGTTGGAGTACATCAGCTAAAAATGAAATTGTGGCCTTCTTGGAGATCCGGAGACGGCATTAAGCTCAGTGATATATCCTTTTTTGAACTGGAAAAGGTCTTCTTTTGTGATTTATAAGGACATTTCATCGTTTATTTTCGTGAAGAGGCCACGAATACATGTGCGATATCAACATCTCGCCTAATAAATTCGGAGGTACTTGAAAATACTAGGGTGCTGTAAGTTGCTATTAGTGAAAGGAGTATTTCGCTATCATTTGCACATTTAGCAACTTGCACTTCAAGAAGAAAAGAATACTGTGAACGGAAAAGCGCACAATAGATTGATTTCACGCTGTCAAATTTAAAATCTGAGCTTCAGAGTATTTTTTGCTGCCTTCAAATTTAAAAGATCAGCTACAAACTCACCTTTGTGTAAATAAATCACTTAATCTGCAACGTATCTGATATTTAGGACATTCTAGATAATCAATTATACTAAAAACAGGCTGCGTCGCCTTCCGAATTCCACAGAAGCCTTTTTTTATCTGTGATGGATGCGTCTTTGAGTACACAGAGCCATTGCTCTTGTGTAGTTGGGATTGATAGGTGGAGCCTTGAGAAATATCTCCTTTGACAATCTCATTATTGGCTGAAATCATACCTGATACACAATTTTGGTTATTTTTTATAAAAGGTTACTACATACATATTCTATAGATAAACGCAGTGGACCTTTCAAATTCTACTAATTTACAATCACGAGGATAAACTCACTATGGCGTTCGTAAAGCTCTTTTCTCGTAGAAATATTAGAAGTTGTCTATTATTCTTAATTTTATTGAGTGCAAAAAACAAAGACGATTCAAACATACCAAAAATTAATTTGGCAAACTATTGTGCACATTTTAATCCCGTAAAAAAGACAGGTGTGCAATTAAAGCAGTTGTTTACGTCGCGCTCTTTTTATTTCCATTGAAGTTCACAAGGCTCGTAAACCTCACTTTCTAACTCCCGATAAAAATCAAACCACGAAGATTGTTAAAAAACAGTAATGCTATCGCTTATATCATTACGAACTGTGATCAACGTGCTTGTTGGTATTTATACTTGTTCTGCTTACATTTCTGATACGAGACGAGATGAAGAGCCACGAAGAATCAGCCGATCTTCCATGACTTCTATCGTCCCGATAAGCGTAACAATGCACAGTACTGCACCTAGCAAAAACGATTCCTTCCTCATCCCTGAGGTGAATGAGGCAAGGGGTGGAACAGCAGAGAAATTTGTCGCAACGATGACCGATGCGCTTTTGCACACGAATGTTGTTGATGGATTCAAGGTCTCAGAACCTCTATTGCATGGCGTCATAAACTCTATTGAAACGGCAACAGGTCGAGTCAGAAATGAGCTAATTCGTGTAAAAAACTTGTTTGAACAAAATGATTGGAGAGTTAAGCTTGAGGAAACGGATGTCTCGTGGAACGACGAATTGATCAGAAATTATGTCTTCTGTCACTGCCTGGGATCTGGAGAAAGTCCGATGTATATATTTCGCTACATGAAAATCCGACTCCCATATTCTCCGAATGACGTGCAAAGTATTGATCCAAAGCTTCTCTGGTGGTTCGAGTACATCATTTTGTATCGGCTTGTCGAAAAATCGACTGCAAAAGACGCGGCTACGAGT